AGGGCTGGAGATGTGAAGACTCTCTGTTCAATCCCCAGAACCACAAAAAGAAAGGAAGAAAGAAAAGAAACATTCTTTGGGAAGTCTCTGCAAACTATGAGATGCTGTACACAATATCCATATGCCTGTCCAAGCACATGCAGGGTAAGATAATTCTCAAAGGTATACCCAGCCAGGGATTTAGCTCAGTCTGTCCCTCCTGCCTGACAAGTACAAGGTCCTGAGTTAGATCTCAGATAAAAAAAAAAAAAAAAAAAAAAAAAAAAAAAAAAAGACAACTAGAGATAAAGACCAAGTATTTAGAAAATTATTTCAAATGCCAGTTTCACTTTCATTACAACTTTAATTAAAGTAGTTTAGCTGTAAATGCCTCTTTAGTGAGAATTCCAAAGAGACAGCCTCTTAATTTGTTTTAATCAAAACAAACTATACACATCAACAAAATCAAACTAGAATTAAACATTTTACAAAGTAACTTTGGATCCTGGAAGGAGAGCAAGTAATTATATCACAGACTTTTGACATTTCCATTTCTGGGCACAGTGACTACATCTTCAACTGATGCTGTAACAAATGAGAGTCTTAATTAAGATTTGCTTTCCTTTTAGTTGTTGACTACATCTTCAACTGATGCTGTAACAAATGAGAGTCTTAAGATTTGCTTTCCTTTTAGTCCGGATGCTTGCTTGCTTGCTCTCTTTCTTCCTTTTTGGTATGAGGATCGAACTCAGGACCTTGCACTTGCCAGGTATGCATGGTGCCACTGAAATAAATTTCAGGCCCTTAGTCTGGGTTGGTTTCTAACACTAACCAGTACACAAAGATAGAGAGCAGGGCTTCTTATCCAGGGCAACTCTCCCCAGAACATCTGGCAATGCCTGGAGGCGTTCTCAATTGTTGAAATTAGGGGCATGGAGCGAGGGGCAGTGCTGCGTACCCACAGTCCCAGCTACCTGGAACACTGAGGCAGGAGGATGGCTTAGGCCCAAGAGTTGAAGGACACGGTGAAAAAAAAGCAAACACCCCCACTCCCCCCACATCACAACCTAGGGGAGTTCAAGAGGAAGCAGGAGTGCCGCTGGCATGGGGGGCAGTGGGCAAAGGTGCTGCCCCACATTCTACAGTGCACAGGACAGACCCTCAAAACAAAGACTTCTTGGACCCAAAATGTCACACGTGCAACCGCTGAATGACTCTAATACTCATGAACACAGCTACTTTTAAAATCCATACCTCGAGTGTTTAGTGTGGTTCTCTCCAAACAATTTTTTTCTTTTTATCTTTCTATATTTGCCAAACCTTGAACACCACCCATGTATTATTTACAATCAGGGGAAAAAAAAACCCATCTGGGGATAAACTTATAGAAGAAAAGACTAGTTGCTGACCAGGCTTGTTCGCAAAGGGCAGGTCTCCGGCAGCCTGCTGGCCTTCGAGAAAGGGCCAGGAAAATTTCCCTCTAAAATCACCTCTCCGCCTTGAAGCTGTTATTCATTACTCCTGGTCAAAACGAATATTCCAAATATCTCAAAACCAGCACTCGCAATGCTGCACATAAGAGAAAGCTGAAACGTAAAACTGCACAGCCTCTCCAGCAAAGTTAGATACACATCCTGTTTTTAATGCTGCTGCCAACATGGGAAGTAATGAACGTTTTAAAAATGACCACATACAAGCTGAATATTCTCTAATTCAACACCCCCCCATGCATTTTGGCTCACTAGTGCTGCTGGTGAAAAAGTTGTATTTTTAAATGTACCCCTCTCGAAAAACTAAAATGACCCTTTGCAGTCAATGAGAATTTCTTGTACAAATTAAACTTCGAAATCCACACAAACGCTTTGCAGGAATGATACACATTGCAGTTAGAAGCCTTCTACGCTACAGATTTCCAATAAAAGGTTGGTAATTTTTTTTCCACAGGCAATCATAATATAATCATTCAGCGGGGAAAAACCTGAAATTCAAGTTCCTAAGTGGGTGTATTCTGACAGGAATTAAAGTCACTTGGAGAAAACCCAAGATCACAATCCTTTGAAGTCACATCCTCATCCCAAAAGCTACTTCTTGTTACCCGCAAGTACCGCTAACATATACGAAATGGAAATCGCGGCTGCGCCCCACCGCCCAGCCACTTGCCATCCGCACACCGGCTC